ATCATGGATGTGGCTGAGCTCTGTTGGTAACTTCAATCGATAAGCTACAGCTCCTACTTTTGCAATCACAGGGTATGGCCCAATGTAGCGCGGTTTAAGCTTCCCACTCTTTCCGAATCTGGCATGTCATCGAATCGCATGTACTCTGAGAAATACTTGGTCGCCAACATCCAATGAGAATTCCCGTCTTCCTTGATCTGCATAAGATTTTTGGCGGTCCTGTGCAATTTGTAAATGAATCTTGATACGACGGATAACCTCTGTGGTCTCTTCCACAATGTCAGGCCCGAACGTTCGACGCTCTCCGATCTCCGTCCAACACAATGGTGTCTTACAAGGACGTCCATACAATGCCTCGTAAGGTGGCATACCAATGCTGGTGTGATAACTGTTATTGTACGCGAATTCACACAACATTAGATATTTGTCCCACGGAATTCCCCAATCCATAATACATGCCCTCAACATGTCTTCAAGCGTCTGAATAGTTCGTTCTGACTGTCCGTCTGTTTGTGGATGATACGCAGTGCTCATCTTTAACTTTGTACCCAATGCTCTCTGTATCGCACCCCACAATCGGGATGTGAATCTAGGGTCACGATCCGAGATGATGTCACTCGGAACTCCGTGTAGTCGGACAATCTCATCAATATAAATTTGCGCCAGCCGATCCACGGTATACTCCTGTCGTATCGGAATAAAATGTGCTGACTTGGTTAATCGATCAACGATTACCCAAATAGTGTTCTTCTTTGTCTGGGTCATTGGCAATCCAACGACAAAATCCATAGCAATAGAGTCCCACTTCTACTCTGGGATCTCTAACGGTTGCAACTTTCCACCCGGCATCTGTCGTTCAGCCTTCACTTGCTGACACGTAAGACATCGAGCAACGAAATCCGCAACATCTTTCTTAATACCGGGCCATGTGTACCACTGTCGTAATCCCTGAAACATTTTGCTGGCTCCAGGATGAATAGCCACGTGTAGTCGGACAATCTCATCAATATAAATTTGCGCCAGCCGATCCACGGTATACTCCTGTCGTATCGGAATAAAATGTGCTGACTTGGTTAATCGATCAACGATTACCCAAATAGTGTTCTTCTTTGTCTGGGTCATTGGCAATCCAACGACAAAATCCATAGCAATAGAGTCCCACTTCCACTCTGGGATCTCTAACGGTTGTAACTTTCCACCCGGCATCTGTCGTTCAGCCTTCACTTGCTGACACGTAAGACATCGAGCAACGAAATCCGCAACATCTTTCTTAATACCGGGCCATGTGTACCACTGTCGTAATCCCTGAAACATTTTGCTAGCTCTAGGATGAATAGCCAGTCTCGATTGATGAGCCTCACGCAGAATATCCTGTCTCAAATCACGATCGTCTGGTACACAAAGACGGTGATGAAGTCTCAAAGAATGCTTGTCATCTAATGTGTAACCCTTCTCACCGTATTTGTCTATATTCTCAATGAATCGTACTAGGTCTGGATCACTGCGTTGTCCCGAGATCACTCGGTCTCTTAAACTCGAAATTTGATCCTCCTCCGAAATTACCATGTGTCCCAACATAGCTGACAGTTCTGCTATGTTCTCTCGTGACGATGATAAGACTCGTATGGTCGATAGGATTCTCTTTCGACTCAAGGCATCAGCAACTACGTTTGCCTTTCCTGGATGGTATGCAATCTCTAAATCATAATCAGCTATCAACTCGAGCCATCGTCGCTGTCGAAGATTCAAATCCTTCTGAGAAACCACATAGGTCAAACTCTTATGGTCTGTGTTGAGCTTAACCTTTTCACCGTATAAATAGGATCTCCAAATCTTCAACGCATGAACTACTGCAGCCAACTCTAAATCGTGCGTCGGATAATTTTCTTCGTGCTTCCGTAACTGTCTTGATGAATAAGCAATCACATGTCCTTCTTGCATTAGTACACAACCTAAACCTTGCTTCGACGCATCTGTATACACATCATACTGTATACCTGACCGTGGTAAGGCTAATATCGGTGCAGTTGTCAATCGCTTCTTGAGCTCTGCGAAACTCGTCTCACACTCCGGCGTCCATTCATACCGCACGTTCTTTCCCGTCAATTTGGTCATTGGTTTCGCCAATTTGGAAAAACCCTCCACAAATCGACGATAATAGCCTGCCAATCCTAGGAAACTTCGGATCTCCGTGGCGTTAGCAGGCGACTTCCACTCCATAACAGCTTCGATCTTTGCTGGGTCCACCTGAATTCCACGAGCTGAGACTATGTGTCCAAGAAAGCCAATCTCTTGTAACCAAAATGCACATTTGCTGAACTTGGCATACAGATGGTTATGCCTCAAACGCAACAACACCTTCCGCAAATGTTCTTCATGACTTTGTTGGTTCGGAGAGTATATCAGGATGTCGTCAATGAATATAATGACAAACTCATCTAGATAATCCATGAATATTCGGTTCATCAACTGCATGAAGACTGCGGGAGCATTCGTTAGTCCGAACGGCATGACAACGAACTCAAAGTGGCCATATCGTGTACGGAAGGCTGTCTTTGGTACGTCCTCAATTTTCACACGAATCTGATGGTACCCCGATCGTAAGTCAATCTTGGAGAACCACTTTGCTCCTTGTAACTGATCAAGTAGCTCATCAATCCTTGGTAGCGGATACCGATTTTTTATGGTTACTTGGTTAAGTCCTCTATAGTCAATGCAGAGTCGCATAGTGCCATCCTTCTTCTTCACAAATAGTACGGGTGCACCCCAAGGAGATACACTCGGTCGAATGAATCCTTGCTCCACTAATTCATTCAATTGTTTCTTCAACTCTGCCATCTCAGTAGGAGCCATCCGATATGGTGTCTTGGATATCGGCTCCGTACCAGGTATCACATCAATAGAGAAATCGACTTCTCTTTGTGGTGGTAGTCCGGGCAAATCGTCCGGAAATACATCCCCGAATTCTTGAACCACTGGAGTGTCCTCAAGCTTCATATCAACTTCTTTTGCTGCAGTAATCACGATGAGGAAGGCATCACACCCTTTCCGAACCATGCTTATAGCTCGGAGGGCTGATATAATCGGAAATGCCGTCTGTATCTTGTCTCCAACGAACTCAAAATTCCCCATCGAATCCGTAAATTGAATAGTTCGTCGATGACAATCAATGTGTGCTCGATGTACAGTCAACCAATCCATCCCTAATATCAAATCGTACTCTTGAATAGGTACGATAATTAAATCGGCAGAAAGATCCCTTCCACAAATTTGTAAGGACACATCATGCAATATTCCACGCATAGGAAGGATCTCTCCGCCGGGTGTATGTATCTGATATCGACTAGTAGTATCGATATCTGTAAGGGCTAACTCATCAGCTTTCTCCACACGCAGAAAACTGTGTGTAGCTCCGGTATCAAACAAGGCATGGCAGAAAATATCATGTATGCACAAAGTACCAGTAATAGCAGCAGCATCGGTCTGCTCGGGGTCCTCCTCTGTAGCAGCATCTTCGGTGGTTGGCTCCTCAACGTAATACTCCTCGCCCTGAGTATCAGCCTCTGCCGCCAACACGTAAACTCGTGGTGCAATGCCAGACTGCTGTAGTGGCTGAGTACGAAGAGGTCTAGAATTTGTCGGAGTGGTCCCCTTCTCTGGGCAGTACGTCGCAATATGACCCGATCGTCCGCACTGGTAGCATGTCGGTGGAGTATTGCATGGCCCAAAATGAACTCGCCTGCATCGAGGACAAGGCCTCCTCTGGGACGACTGTGATGGTGGTGGTCGAACTGCCAGTGCCTTCCCCTTGTCTCGGGATTGACTAGTCTGGTCAGTACTAGTGGAAGGTCGACCAAGGAGAAATCTTCTGGCGGGGGTCCGATCTCGGATTCGAGCCTCCTGCTGCTCCTCATGCTCGCCTCGCTCCATCTTCTCGAGCTGGCAGATGTATCGGCTCAAGGTAGGATACTCCAGTACCTCAATCTTCCTCCGCAGAGAGGGGCGCAGGCCAGCAACGAACTTTTGAATCTTCAATCGTTCTGTCGGAACAAGATTAGCGCCATATCGTAGGAGCCTAGTAAATTCTGCCTCGTAGTCACCAACAGAACGATCACCCTGCTGAAGATTAATGAACTCCACGAGACGATGTTCCTGGTCATGCCGCTTGTAATATTTCTCCTCGAACTCTGCTCGGAACTCATCCCATGTGAACTGATGTCCAGGAATATTGTCTCGCACAACTCCATCCCACCAGTGGCGAGCCTGTCCGAACAGATGGTGACTCGCTATCTCTGCTCGATACTGTAGTGGGCACCGTAGATAATCAAAATCATTTGTGATCCGCACCAACCAGTCCTCAGCAACCTCAGGAATCTGAGAACCCTCAAACCTCGGGGTGTTCATGGCTCGAAGCTCCTTGATCAGTGCAAGGTAATCCACGCCTATTGGTGCGTGAAACGCCGGCAGACCTGGTGGAGGTGGTGGTGGAACATACTCTGGTCTAGCCGCAGGTATGGCTCCAACTGCTGGAGGTGGTATCTGACCCTGATACTGTTGCCACATCCTCTCGCAGAACTGTTGGAAGTCCTCTGGCATGGGGTTAGGGATATGTGCTTCCGTTGCCCCAAGTCTAGGCGCAGGTCGTGCACGTCGTGGAGGCATAGTCACTGTAGACATTGAAAATGAGACTTAGTTCCGGTGACTTCGACACCATTCATTAACTTTTCAAAACCTTGTTCGTCAAAAATACTTTTGAAAACTTTTAAAAAAACATGTTTTTTTTTTTTTTTTAAAAAAAATAAAAATTTACTGGTATCAAGTTTTCGCATATTCTCTTCCGAGGAAGGAACTGCTCTGATACCAAGTTGTGACACCCGTATCCCGCATCCCGCATACAGGACGTGCCACATAGATAAATAAAATCACAACCGTAAAATTTTGAAATGTAAAATTACGGAAAGATTAAAACATTCATTTTAATTATAAAACAGCGGAATATATGATCAAATACATAAGTACGTTTACATACGTACGCAAGATACCAGTATATAATATGAGTGATACGAAAACTATAATACAAAAGTCCAAGGTCTACCACTCTTTATTTTCGAGAGAGAAATACGATAAAGATAATTATACATGATCTGGAAATTGAGCTGTCACCGGGTCCCACGTCTGCCTCAGTCCTTACTGTTGTTCACGACCTGAAACGTTGCGTAACAACGTCCTAAGCTACGTGCTTAGAGAGAAATTCGGGTGTAACCCGAGATTTCTATTTTTATTGAAAACGGCCAAGCAATATAGTGAATACTATACATATACATGCGACGAGGTATATCAATCAATTATCGTTGAATCAATCAGTAATCTCAAACAAAATCCGTCAATCGTCTCTACGTGTATCTCACACGTAGGTAACAACTCGTTCATGCCTGTGTCGAACACAAGGCGCATCAGTCCAAGCAAAATCGTTTGCGAGGACCCCAAGTGATCTTCATACTCCTCATCGGTCACCGATATCACGGCTCTCGGTACCGGTCATCCCCATACCCACTCCAGACATCGATCCCCGATGCCGCCGACTTTCGGGCGAAGCAGCTCTATGCTAACTCCCCCTCGCCGACCATCCGCCTCGGAAAATACTCATCAGACCCGAGCTCAAGCCTTTCAGAGTATATCCGTACCACCTCGCCGGGGGACACACGCAACTACCCGGGTCTCAGGTTTATTTACCAATCAACGGGTGACACATGCAAACCCGAAGTCCGTTCCATGGCCAATGGAACGTTGGCGCGGTTGCCAAAGAACCGTACTTCCTCGTCACGCATTCGAGTGACACACGCAAACCCGAATGCGTGAGTCTCTGGATGCCATAACCGTTTATCAGAAAACGGTGGCGCGATACGAAGATCGCCACAATCACAAACACGTCACCGCGGTATGATAATCGATCCGGATCGATTATCACACATCGGAGACTTCAGTAAATGCAATCATCATTTTATTATTTATAAGATTACCCGACTACAATCATACGTTTCACAATATCCGGACCCATCCAGTATATTGCCAACGTCATGCAATTCTATCCGTTTTAATCTAACTCTAAATATCATTTATTTATCGGTTATACTATTTCTATTATTGTTATTTATTATTATTTATTATTATTTTGTTTTTCAATAATCATTTGAATTTTATTTATTCATTTATTTGTTTATATATTTATCTATTCATTATTAAAACTATTTTTATTGTTATTTTTCAAAATTATCTTATAAATTTACAATATTAACAAAAAATGATTTTGTACATGTCCACGTTATAAATAATGTATCGGAACTGTTATTTTTATTTTTTTTTTCTATTACAAAACAATGACAATTAAATTTACGAATTTAACCCCAATCAATCATCAAATTTGCATAAAACATACAAACTCCGAAATCAATAAAAATAAAATTCTCAAAGCCACATCCAAATTCACTCACCGCGATTTTTGTTCAATGTTAGTTTTTCGATGTGATCTTCATTGTAACTCCGAGATCAAATATTACCTAAATAACAGGTTTTATATATAATATCATTTAACACATTCATACACTATCATAAAAACGTTCTCAACATCTGTCTTATAGGTTTCACTAGATTTTCTTTAAACCCAAAGAACAGTTTCTAGTTTCAGTTTCTTTTATTGAAACGAGTTATTGGTATCGTGTAAATAAATTCAAAATTAAAACTAGGTTTAAAGTGTTTATTTTGAAATAGGCCCGATGGTTGAGAAACATAAAAGTTTGGCACTCCTCAAACAATTTGATTAACGTTTGAAGGTTGGATTGACTTTTTTTTTTTAAAAAAAAAATAATAATTACATCTTCTCTAAATTAGCTTGAAATTTAATGAATATAATACATGCAGAAAGGTTTTTGGAAATGGTTTGAAATTTAAAAGTCACTAGAGTTTACCTTAATCAAGAGAGAGTAGTGATGAAAGATGATATTAGCTTTGGGCAAAGCTTAATTTTTCTCCGGATGATGAATTCTTGGCGTAGAAGGAGTTAAGCAATTTTGGTGTTTTCTTTATCTTTTTTTTTTCTTCTATTTTTGGCTTTAGGAAGAAGAAAAGTTTACGGAGATTTTATAAATCGTCCAAGCAATTAATAGTAAAGATGATAACAATCATTTCATTACTACTCTTAGGTTGTAAACGTGGCTTGTAGTAGTAGTGTAGGTGGCATTCTATAAATTTTAATTATTATCTAGACCATATATGTGTCAAAGATATATTAGTGTTACTTATATATGTAAAGGTGGTAAACGTGGATGATTCATTCCCCTTCCTTTGTCTCTTTCTTATTGTAATTATTGTATTATATATGTTATATATATATATATATGACGGTTAATGCAGCAACTTTTGCTCCATTCCCGACACGGAGATCTACTTCTCCCTTTGCCAATTGTCTACTTCCTCGCAGTCCCTGCACATTTGTACAAATGTGCGAGGCACATCCGGTATCTAATACCCATGATGAAGAAGTACATAAGTTGGCCTCTATAACGAAGATACCAGAAGTTGAAGCTTCTGCAAGCTTCTTCTTCCTTTGATCTTCCAGGTAGAGTCTGCAATTTCTGTACCAATGCCCAATGGCATGACAGAAATAACACTCTTCCTTCTTGGGTTTGGACTTAGGCTTAGTGACAACACTTGTCAATTTCCTTTTGCCCTTACCTTTGGAACGTTTCCTCTTGCTGGAACTCTTTCCAACAATCACCATATCATTCTTCCCTTGGCTCCCAGCTTTCTCTTGGAATGACATATTCAACTGATCATCCATCAATGAATTGTCCATGTCATCTAATTGCTCACGCAATTCCGAAGACATCTTTCCAAGCATCAAGCTGGACACGTCCAGATCATTATCCTCATGCTTCCAATAAGCATCAATGATCGATCCAGAAGCCTTGGTTAGAGGCTTATCCTTCATAAGGATAGATCGCATGGTGAGATTAACCAGATTCCTGCAACAGATATACACTACAGAAAAAGACAAACAAACAGACAGAAAATATGCAAGTCACTTAGTACACTTACTATCACAGATAATAGATGCAATATGACAGGCTCCCACTAAGAAAAACACCCTCAATGAGTTTCCAAGTGAGCTAGGATCCATATTTCACATGCTTTTGAGTCAGCTAGGGCATGACGCTCAAAACCATGCTATTTAGGTAGACAACACTTTGTCAATCACATCCTATGTGATTCCTAGATGAGTATGGGATAGTGATACGCTATCACTGCATGTTCCTCATCCCATCCTTACCATTAGGTCCAAGTCCGACTTGATAACCCAATTCAAGCTCAACCATATTTGAGCTATGAGAATCACGATTTCTCCATACTGCCTCACCAAGATAGTCAGGCACGCTCAGCTAGGGCATGACCCGTAACCATGACGATCGAGGCCTTGACAGTTGCTCTGCTAATGGGCGGTAATAGCTTGAGATTTCAAAATTGAGGCTTCATTTGTCTTGAACACCAGGATACCTTGACTGAATTCAAGTCATTCCAGTCAAGTTGTTCTGATCAACTCGGATGAACTACTCTTAGTTCGTTTGAGGTGTCTATATATAGAATCTCTTGGCCAAACAACATTTGTTTTCCTTAGATTCGATACCAGAACCCTCTCAATATCCTAATTCAGATATTTGATTCGAGACAACGATTGCACAATCAAAACTCTGAATTCTGGATTGTCATCAAGCTTGGTCTTAAGTGAGGCTTTGATTCCGATTCTGATAATCGATCCAACACAACAATTGTTCGATCAAAATCTGAATTCTGCAGAATCACGGATTGTCCAAGGTCCAAACCGACCGTCGGTTTAACTTTGGAAAAACCTGAACACTGGAACGGACGGTCCAGAGAAACACGTGGACGGTCCAGAGAAACACGTGGACCGTTCGTTCCAGCAATCCAGAACGGACGGTCTGCCTCTAATGGTCTGTCCGTTCCAGCAAGCCAGAACGGACGGTCTGTCGAAACACGTGGAACTGCCGTTCCAGAAAGCCAGAACGGACGGTCTGCATCCGTGGACCGTCCGTTCCAGACCTTCTGGAACGGATGACCGAATGCAGACCGACCCCGAATACCGAACGTTCCATCAGACCCAGACCGAACGGTCCGAAGACCAGACCGGATGGTCTGTCAAACGTGATCCGAACCCCTCTTATGGTCATCGGTCCAGACCGGTCGGTCCAACCCTTGGACCGTTCGGTCTGACCTAATTTGACCTAAAAGGAACACCCGCCGTCATGCGTAGACCGATCGGTCTACACTCTAGACCGTTCGGTCCATGCGACGGACAGACTTCGGATCTCGGTTTCGGGTCCCGTAAACTAGGGTTTTCATCCCCGTTTCGACGCACCATCAAGCCTCCTAAGAACCATAGCTCATCCATGCTTTATTCAATAATCAAGATCATCAAACAAACATAGATCTCATGTTTACATGCATTCTAACCATTAAAACCATGAAAACATGCATAGATCTATAGTCTACATGCATTCTAACAATTAAAGACATGCAAACCTGCAAAGATCTATTGTTCACATGCATCTTAACAATTAAAATCATGCAAACAAGCAACAGGCACGGCGATATACAGAGAACCAGGCTCTGATACCACTGTTGGGATTCCCTTCGGGTTCCTAGCATGCGATCTCATCGATCTAGGGTTTGGATTCTAGGTTTCACGCAGCGGAAGGAAAGATCTAAACCTAGCCAAACGTCACACAAAAACCAATTGTGCAATAACCCGAACAATCGTGTATATCGTCGTGGGATTCGAATACTTACCTCGTTCTTTCAAGATCTGGAAGTATCAATCGATCCAGGGCCTGTTTTAATCACCAAGAGTTGAAAGCACAACTCCTCTACACGTATCCACACCGACGGGATGAATTCCAACGCTTTGGAACGTATCTGCTAGGATTCGTGAAGAGAAAAACCGATGTCCTTGACTTGGAATCGATATTCCAATCACTAGAACTCAAAATCAAGCTTCTCTAAGCTCTCTTCTGAATCTGGGACGTATGAGGTTATTCTTTTTAGGGTTTGTGGCGGCTCACTCATTAATTATGATTGCCCAAAACCCTTAAAACGCGAAAACCGAAAACTGCCCGTAAGTCGGACCGTCCGTTCCAGGCCTGGAACGGACGGTCCGACTTACGGGCAGTTTTCGGTTTTCGCGTTTTAAGGGTTTTGGGCAATCTTATTTAATAGAGAGAGCCGCCATAAACCCTAATAATAAAAACCTCAGACGTCCTAAACAATTCCTAGAGCTTTGGAGAAGTTTTCTCTTGAGTTCTAGTGATTGGAATATCGATTCCAAGTCAAGGACATCGGTTTTTCTCTTCACGAATCCTAGCAGATACGTTCCAAAGCGTTGGAATTCATCCCGCCGGTGTGGATACGTGTAGAGGAGTTGTGCTTTCAACTCTTGGTGATTAAAACAGGCCCTGGATCGATTGATACTTCCAGATCTTGAAAGAACGAGGTAAGTATTCGAATCCCACGACGATATACACGATTGTTCGGGTTATTGCACAATTGGCTTTTGTGTGACGTTTGGCTAGGTTTAGATCTTTCCTTCCGCTGCATGAAACCTAGAAACCAAACCCTAGATCGATGAGATCGCATGCTAGGAACCCGAAGGAAACCCAACAGTGGTATCAGAGCCTGGTTCTCTGTATATCGCCGTGCCTGTTGCTCGTTTGCATGATTTTAATTGTTAAGATGCATGTGAACAATAGATCTTTGCAGGTTTGCATGTCTTTAATTGTTAGAATGCATGTAGACTATAGATCTATGCATGTTTTCATGGTTTTAATGGTTAGAATGCATGTAAACATGAGATCTATGTTTGTTTGATGATCTTGATTATTGAATAAAGCATGGATGAGCTATGGTGCTTAAGAGGCTTGATGGTGCGTCGAAACGGGGATGAAAACCCTAGTTTACGGGACCCGAAACCGAGATCCGAAGTCTGTCCGTCGCATGGACCGAACGGTCTAGAGTGTAGACCGATCGGTCTACGCATGACGGCGGTTGTTCCTTTTAGGTCAAATTAGGTCAGACCGAACGGTCCAAGGGTTGGACCGACCGGTCTGGACCGATGACCATAAGAGGGGTTCGGATCACGTTTGACAGACCGTCCGGTCTGGTCTTCGGACCGTCCGGTCTGGGTCTGATGGAACGTTCGGTATTCGGGGTCGGTCTGCATTCGATCATCCTTTCCAGAAGGTCTGGAACGGACGGTCCACGGATGCAGACCGTCCGTTCTGGCTTTCTGGAACGGACGTTCCACGTGTTTCGACAGACCGTCCGTTCTGGCTTGCTGGAACGGACAGACCATTAGAGGCAGACCGTCCGTTCTGGATTGCTGGAACGGACGGTCCACGTGTTTCTCTGGACCGTCCGTTCCAGTGTTCAGGTTTTTCCAAAGTTAAACCGACGGTCAGTTTGGACCTTGGACAATCCGTGATTCTGCAGAATTCAGATTTTGATCGAACAATTGTTGTGTTGGATCGATTATCAGAATTAGAATCAAAGCCTCACATAAGACCAAGCTTGATGACAATCCAGAATTCAGAGTTTTGATTGTGCAATCGTTGTCTCGAATCAAATATCTGAATTAGGATATTGAGAGGGTTCTGGTATCGAATCTAAGGCAAACAAATGTTGTTTGGCCAAGAGATTATGAGACGTTTTCGCCTGTAGTTATGCTGAAGTCCATCAGGATCCTACTTGCCATAGCCGCATATTACGACTATGAGATATGGCAAATGGATGTCAAGACCGCGTTCCTTAACGGGAACTTGACCGAAGTTGTGTACATGACACAACCCGAAGGTTTTGTCGATCCAGGGAACCCGAGGATGGTGTGCAAGCTTCAGAGGTCCATTTATGGACTGAAGCAGGCTTGAAGGAGCTGGAATCTTCGTTTTGACGAGACAATCAAAAAGTTTGGTTTCTCACAAAACGAAGACGAGTCATGTGTTTACAAGAAGGCTAGTGGGAGCACAGTTGTATTTC